TCACCTGCGTCCCATCACCGCAGGGGAAGGACGGAGAGTCGTGCTTCCTGGCATTATGGGGAAATAATGAGGGAAAGAAGGAGAGGACTGGTAAGGAATGATCCCCACCTACTGACTGGCTGTTCTTCCCAACAGGTTGTACTCCATGAAGGAACACCTTCCTGGGAAGACAGAGGTTTGTGGGTTCATGAGGGTCAAGGAGGAACTTTCCAAGACGGGCCCAGAATATCAGAGGAAAGGGCTCCGGGAACTGGCACCTGAACTCAAAACAAGCAAAACACCCGACCTCCGTAAGGAGTTTGCAGGACAAAGCCCAGTGAGAGAAATACAGGTCTTTCCTCCCGCTGGCCTGCAGCTGGGAGCCCCAGGAAGTGAAGGGCGCCCCGGGGAAGGCCCTGCGAGAGCCATCCTCCCGAGCCCGTGCTCTGTAGCGCGCAGTGCTCGGGGCTCCTCTGCAGGACTGATCGGCTTCGAAAGAAAAGCTGGGCTTTATTTCCAACTCAGGTCCCAGGGTCTGAATGTGTTATGCAATCTGGGAGACATCTGGCAGTGGGCTAGTGGGCAGCCCAGATCTGTACTTGACCTCCTGTCCTTCTCTAGACTCATGGACAGCTTCGCCGGAAAGGAAAGCAGACGCCTTGGCGTTCGGTCAGACTCTGAATGTTCCGTCTTTTCCACTGGGTCCCTGAAGAAATAAAGACTGAATTCTTCTCGTTTCTTCCCGAGGTGACAAGAAGGTCCTCCGCAGGCCTGAGGGTCCGGAACAGGCCTGGGCCTGTCACTCCAGAGGCAGCTGGTCAGCAGCTCCATGTCGCTCAAGGCCGTGACCGACCTCCATGGCCAGAGGATGGACCAGGGCGGGTCAGGATGTGTGGGAAGAGGACACAGATGACACACGGAGGAAGCACCGGGAATGCTCCAACATTAGCAGAGCGGGAACTGTAGGGCGGACTGCAATGATCTCCTCTTAGGAAGAGAAGACAAACTGCGTTGCCTCCAAATCTAGAAAAATCGGCCATTTGCCAATATTGCAGGAAAGTGAAGACGGTGGCATAATATGGGTCAAAGCAAACAAACTCCACCCATTCTGCACTATTTTAGAAGCTACAGACCGACGTTTCTTAAAAAGGGCTTGAAGTCTCAAATTAGCTTTTCACTAAGATGAAAGGTTAAACCAGCATGGTCCAACAGAACTACAGTGCAAGTTCCTACATAGTTTTAATTTTTCTAGTAGCCGTAACGTAAATGAAAAAAGAAACAGGTGGAATTAATTTGAATACCACATTGTGTTTAACCCGCTCTATGAAATACATTATCATTTCAACACATAATGGATATAAAATAGTTACACATTCTTTTCTCAGACTGCGTTTGGACCCGGTGTGTATTTTTCACCTGCGGATCACCTCAATCCAGAGCAGCTCTACCGCCACACTGGCCAGCACAATGGAAGGACCACCCGCAGACTAATGCTGGGTCCCTGTCTGACCCTTAAAAACAGCAAATGCAGTCAGGGGACTGCCTCCATGTGTGTGCCCTGCCGAAAGCAGGTGATGCGACTGCCGGGGTCACCTACACAGACAAGCCCACCGTTACTGAGGACCTCCCCTTCCGATCACCACCAACTCTCCCGCCTGGACGCGCAGGAGAAGCAGACCCCCCTCCCTGGAAGCCTGTTTCTGATCCATCGAGACCCCCGTGGAAAAGCAGTCCTGCTGGCTACCTGCTAGTCACTACAGGAGCCCCCGCAGCGGCACCTGACACTAACACAAAGTAATACTGAACGTCGACTCCAATTGAAAAATAAATAAAGGAGCCACTGAATAATGTGAAATGCCCTTTTGTCCAAATGCTCTGTTATTTCGGTTTAAAAGTGCTCCTTTTGCCCTGCCAGCGTGGCTCAGTGGTTGAGCGTTGGTCGACCTGTGAACCAAGAGGTCGTGGTTCGATTTCCTGGGTTGCTGGCTTGAACCCCAGTGTGGGGCGTGCAGGAGGCAGCCGATCAATGATTTTTTCTCATCATTGATGTTTCTATCTCTCTCCCTACCTCTCTGAAATAAATAAAAATATATTTAAAAAAATAAAAAATGAAAGTGCCGCTTTCCAAAGCCGCGTCCTCGCTCGTCACTGTTGCAGCCGCAGAGCTCTCACAGCAAGCTCTGCCCCACTCGCCAGCCTCTCTCGGGGCCAGCTCCACACCCGCTCTGTGCAGGGAGCT